TCCATTCTTTCTTCCTTGTTCTGATCATTGTCTCTTATTCTTTATATTGAATTTCCCAATTTTTGGTCTATATCAGTGATGACGAACCTTTTTGGCACTGAGTGCCCAAACTGGAATGCACGTGTGCACGTGCACAACAGAGCTGGGTGACATGCACATACATGCTGAAGCCAGAAGAACAGCTGGTAATGATGCATGTGCCCACAGAGAGAGCTCTGCGTGCCACCTCTGGCACACGTGCCATAGGTTGCCATCACAGGTCTATACGATCAAATATTTTCTCAATGCTTTGAAAAAGCTCCATTCTGTTTAGGTTCTCCTCACTTAGGTCTTATGTTGTGTCTGTGTTTAGTCAATTTCTTTTTTAGTCCACTGTCCAGAGTTCATTAATTCAAAAAACCAAACTTCCAAATCATAATTCTAAATATCTCATCAATAGTCAGTCCAAACAATTTAAATTCACCAGGAGGTTATCCACACCTCTTCAAATTATTTTATATGTTCAATAATATTCAATGATGTTCAGTGGTTTTTAACTGAAGTCCTTAGTTAATAATCAAATCTGTAGTGGTCTTAGAGGTCTGTATCTAACTGATATTTCCAGTCTTTTTGAATAGTTATTTCTAAGTGTGCATATTTTTCTTTTTGTCAGCAGATGGTGTTCCCACTTCTGTCTGCTTCAACCTCTCTGCGATATTGTTAACAGTTCTGATTTCAATTATTTTTTCAATTATTCAAATTATTTTTAAATTATAAATCCAATAATTGAGCAATGTTTGTAAAGAGAAATTTGGGACTTTAATTCCAGCATTTTAAAATGCTCTCAATACCACGTCTTTTAGCTTTGAGGAACCAAGTTTCTATTTATTATTTAAAAAACATTTTTTTTCCTTCTTCAATTCTCAGATATTTTTCCTCTGTGCCCATTCAACAAATAGCTTCAACAAATAGCTTTAAATATGCTTCCCCCTTGGATTTCTGGGGTAAACTTCCAATAAAAAATATTTTCTCACCCAGATCACACTTCATTCACTTTCTCCGCTCCAGCACAGTCTTGGGTATTCAGACTGTCCCCAGCTTCATGGCAGCCATTTTGGCTGCCGCTGCTCCTTGTCTTCAGATGAGGGGGCTTTCCCAGGAGAGATGTGGCTCTCCTCAACCTGCCAGGCGGTCCCACCTTACTTCACCACCCCTTCAGGGTGGCTATGGTCCGAAATTGGACCCTCCAACAGGGAGAGGTTGGAGCTGGCCGCAGAGATTCCAGATCAGGCTTCCAAAGGTTACGGAAGTGCAACTGGAACTATCTTACATCCTCCCTTCATGCTACCATTTCCACTGTAGGTTTTTTGGCAGGTTTGTTTTTCTATTCAGTAAGTTTCCACTACAGAGCAGATTCCCTTGTCTGTGCCTGAAAATTCATCATATTGATACACTTATGAATCCACATTACTAGCAACTCATTTGCACGCATAATTCTTCTTTCAATTTGTGTGAAGCCCCCCACTCCACCCCAAGAATGAAATATTTTAGGAACTATTAAAAAAGACAAAATATTATATTTCCCTAAAGGAGAAATGGAAAAACATGTTTTTAGAAGCAGGAAGCAGCACCCAAGCCTTTCTTAATAGCTCACAGCAGATGCTAGCACTTAAGAGATAAAGAGCTTATTGAAAGAGGAAGACAAATATCTAGATATTCATAAGCAAAGCAAATACTGCAGGCAGAAATCCATTCAAGACAGAATAGTTTGAAACTGCTTGTAGCAAAGTTTGATAGCTAACAAAAGCAGTGATAAGATTAACACCCTTTCAGAACACAGGTCCCTTCATTGCACTGCACCCAAAACAGTCCAAACTTCAAAGTCATATAGAACCTTTTAAAGATCCATCCATTCATTCAACCCGTTCAGCTGACCCAGAACTGTCTTTCTGGTTCTGTTGAATAAACCATCTTTCCAATCAGCCTCCATGTTGTTTCCAGTGCCTCTCTCCAGGCTTGGAACTGAACCAGGTGGATTTTCCTTCTAAGGAATTTTATCTTTCCAGGCAGGAAAATTGGCTGAAAGCATGACGTGTTAGTGAGCTTGGAAGGCTGGGTGAGGATCAGCATTGTTAGCCTTGGAGAAACTGAGAATGGGTGTGAGCCAACTAAAAGCATACAGACAATATGGGGGCTGGAGAACATTTTTATCTTACTGGATGGAGGCAGCCTAAGGGTCTTTGGGCCCTCCGGTTTCAGAGAGCCACGAAGAGATCTTTTAGAATCAGATTCGGGAAGTCATGCACTCAACTATAAATCATCACCCTTTCCGGCGTCTAAAGCGTGAATGTACTGTTTCTGATCACACTATACATAAGATTTCACATTTCTGTTTGTTCTTTTGAACGTACTGATATATTTTAAAGGCAGAATTGTATTTCTATATTATATGGAGTTTTAGAAAATATGACTTCCCCCGTAGTCTAAAATGGTACGGTCCAGGCACACGCGACCCCTTTCCAAACCAAACCAAGCGATGTTCTTCATCGTATTTCGCATCTGGAAAAGAAGTTATCCAAAGACCAATTTACCAAAGACCAATTTACAGGAAGCAGTGATTGATCGAGCGAAAGAGGGCTGGAAAAACAAGGCGAAAGGAGGGCGGGGGTCTCGAAAGAAGAACATTTCTCGCCGCCCCACCCTCGTACCGTTGCCCTTTTAAAGCTCCTCCCTTCCTTCTCCCCTGCTCACTTCGCAGGGCTTTGATTGATTGAGCTGCAGTTGCTACGTTGGAAGCTTTGGGGGGAGGTCCTATTGGGGCTTCCTCCCAGGCAGATCGCCAGAAGGTGGGCCTAAAAGGAGGGCGCCACTTCCTGCCTGAAAATGAATGAGTCCGCGGGGAAGGAGGCAGTTCCCCTTTCATCTGAACAGTTGATCCAAAAGAAAACCCAGCTCTTTTTCTACCTAGGCGAAAAATAGCAACGATTTGTACGGAGAACCACCTTTGTTCTGCGGTTCTGAGCAATCTGCCACACCTCGAAGTTGCCTTTGCTGCTTGATCCTTATTCCAGGCGGCGCGATCACGGCAATCGTGGGCTCTTGAGCTGATCATTGCTTCTCCACCCCCTCCTCTGTCTCGCGATTTCTCTCTTGCAAGATCCGGGTTGTTGCTGATCTCTACGGCGTAACTGGAATGGTTTCTGCGGGTGAGTCTGCATTTTAAAATCGCAACCTAAGGATCTAATACCGACTAACAAGGAAAGGAGCTTAAACGGAATTGGCAAAGATTTTTCTGCTGCTGAGTCACCCATCAATACCATGGGAAACATTTCATCCAATATCTCTGCCTTTCAGTCTCTGCACATTGTCATGTTGGGTCTGGATTCTGCAGGCAAAACCACGGTGCTCTACAGGCTTAAATTCAACGAATTTGTCAATACGGTGCCTACCATTGGCTTCAACACTGAAAAAATCAAGCTAAGCAATGGAACTGCAAAGGGCATCAGCTGCCATTTTTGGGATGTAGGTGGGCAAGAGAAACTGAGGCCTCTGTGGAAATCCTATAGTCGTTGCACTGATGGTATCATTTATGTGGTGGACTCTGTTGATGTGGACAGGCTAGAAGAAGCCAAAACAGAGCTGCACAAAGTCACCAAGTTTGCAGAGAATCAAGGCACTCCCTTATTAGTGATTGCCAACAAGCAAGACCTGCCAAAATCTTTGCCTGTGGCAGAAATAGAAAAACAGTTGGCTCTTCATGAGCTAACTCCATCCACTACTTACCATATACAACCAGCCTGTGCGATCATTGGTGAGGGTCTCACAGAAGGTATGGACAAACTGTACGAGATGATTCTCAAGCGCAGAAAATCCTTAAAGCAGAAAAGGAAACGATAGGCAAGAAGAAAGTGCATTCCATTAGATCATAGTATGACTTACTAGTTTGAAGTATTAGTTAAGGATGCCGGTGTTTATATTATTTTCCATAGTATCACAGAGTCCTTCAAATATGCTGATTTTTTTACAAGTTCAGATGATAACATTGTGCTGACTACCATTTGGGATGCTGGTCAGATCTATGCATGCCAGCCTATCACTTCCATCCTGCTCTCAGGCCCCATGAGCCAGTGGGATAAGAGAAGGCCTCTTCATAATATTCTAGCAGGACTAGAAGGCAGAAACTTTTCCTATCAGTTGCTTCTGACCTTGTGAACTACAAATATGCAAGACGCTTCCCTAATTCTTTGGACAATTCCTATGAGTGGGAGAGAAAAATCGTAAAGCTTGATGTGTCAGGGCAGGTCCCTGTTCCATTCAAATTAAGATTTGTGCTGCCATCTCAGGATGTTACTACATGGTGATGTGTGTGCATGAAGATCTAGACATTGCTCGATGGGAAAAATGCTGTGATTAAGGGGAAATGTGCATTAAAAATACAGCTTTTATATGAACCACTTGTGGAAAACTTTCTCAGCCCTACAACAAAGTTACCAAGATGTTTATGATCTGTTGTTGTGTGTGGCTGTTACCAAGATCAGCAAGTATGAAATTGCTGAACAAATGAGGCTGGGCTACTTCCTGGAGTAATTTTTATGTGTTTGGAGGGAAGTAACCTATGTTCCCTGTCATTTCAGTTGAGTGTAAGGATATACATAGTGGGTGGACTGTTCTTTTCTTTTTTTCTGTATTGTCTTTTGGATGGGTTTTTAAAATTGGTAAAGAGGGCTGTGTATGTTATGTATTCCTATATTAAAGAACTAAGTTGGTGTGTTGATACACTTGAATTAAAAAAACTGCTTGGATCATTTGTGACCAGTAGCTGCCTCTTGGTGCTACTTTAAGCAACATTAGAAAATGTTATCTTTTCATAAGTCTACGCACTGTAGCAATAACCACTAAACAACTTTTTTAAAAATACCATGTCTTTGTAACATTGAACTGTGGACATATTGTTTTTCTAACATTTAATCCAATCAAACAATGTAACTCATAATTTAATTTATTACTTTATAATTTGATGGCTTTTATAATCCAAAGGATTGCAACTGTGAATAGCAGTGAAGGAAAATTCAGATTTGTCTGATTTGGTATAGAAAATTAAAGATATAGAATCAAAAGGACATTCTAAATTTTCAGCTGAGAAAAATCCCCAGTCTAATAAATTAACCTTCCTGTTTAAATCCATGGTTCATTGTTATGATTGTCAAGAATATAGTAAGAGGCAGACATTAACAACACAATGTTAATATTAATTTTAAAAGTACAGGGAAATTGGCATTCTTTATGAATACTTGCAGTAATAATGCAATCTGTACTTGTCTACCCAGTTGAATTATATCCAATTACATACATTTATTAGGAATTAACTCTTTTATGTTATTATATAATAAAAGCAAACCTCATTTATGGTATTTATATGTGAATAAGGATGCATATCAAGCTCTAAAGCTAAAGTCTTACATAGGCTTATTTGGGAGCAAGACCTATTGAACATGGACTTGGTTTTAATTGAGTCAGTAATATTGACCTCCTTGGAAGAAAACCCATATCTAAAGAATATAGAATTGTGCAGAGAGATGATATCCCAAAAGTAAAATAAAGAGTTTGACAACTTTAATTCTTCAGCTAATTGTAAAGTCTTTGTGACAGAAAGGCCCAATCTCTTATTTTAGAGTTACATCCATGATTCAGTTTCTAAGAGGTGGATTAGCTACTTTTTGATGAAATCATGTGCGTTCTAGAAAGAGCAACAGAAAAATGTAAGCTTATATTTGACAACACATTCCAATCAGTTGATTTTCTATTAATTCTTTTAGGCAACCCTTTTTTAAGAATGCAAAGACCTCTCTCCTCTTCCAGCTATATTGTATCAGATTATTATGAGAAACCAGAACTACTGCCACTTTTTTCTCTGCATTTTTATATTTACTACAGCTTTAGTTACTGAATATTTGCAATGCAGCTGTAAACAGTACAGGAGTCCTGCCATGACATTGGCATCTGCTGCAATTCAATTTCTTTACATGCTTGAGGAATTTATTTACATGAATGGAGACTTGTTCACTAATCCCCAGAGTGGGCTGGTCCCATTGTTTAAAGTATTGCTTTTTAATTGGTTAATTTCTTCCACTTACAATTCTCAGGCATGTTTGTTACCTCATACCTGAAAAAGAAAGAGAAATAATATATTTAATCCAATTTTGAAGCCAAATGCTGTCAGTTTTACAATATGGTTTAGGAATTGCTGTTCATAATCAAATTGTATCATAAGGCAGATATGGTTTTGGATTCTTTTTCATTCACAAAATGTATTTCTTGCAAATAATTAAAAAAACAAGTTTATTCTGCTTTGTCAGATCAAGTTGTACAGGTGTTAAATTAACGCAGTTAGGTCTTGCCAGGCATACTAGGTGTTAAATATGCCAGTGTCTTTAGTGGATTAATTTTGGTAGCAAAGAAATTTTGATCATTTTGAGTTACACACAGTTAGAAACACTGCCATGCATATTATTTTTAAAGTCAGACTTTCTTCTACTGTTCAAAAATAATCCTGGCTAGTATCTTCATGAATTATCTGAGCAAAAGAGAATACCTGAAGATATATGATGGTTTAAAATGTTGCTTTTAAAATATTGCATAAGTCTCATTTCTAAGGCAGATTTGTCCTAGTTTAAGTATTTTGTTCTCTTTAATAATGTTTGGAGAATGTTATCAAATACTACAAGACACTAGTCTCATTTTCTTCATGATACACCAATTAAAGTATTCCAACAAAACATTTCTGGATAGTGTTGTTTTCATTCTACTGTACTTTGGTCCTATTATCTTATTTTTGTAATGCATGCAAGAATCTGCAAACCCAAAATCATTTAATGAACTAAAAACATTGAACTATAACAGAGGAAGATTCCTTAACACGAATAGCTTTTTGGTCTTGCCTTGTCCCTCCCACAAGGTTTCTGAAGATAAACCTCAGTTTTGGGCTTTGTATACTAAGCTACGCCAAAGCAAACCACATTAGTGTGCAATGTGAATACTTTCAAAGAAAAATATTCACTGTGAATTATTTGTGAAATGTTTGACTATTCAGGTTTTAAAATCCTGAAACACTTTGTTGAACTTTTACAGAAAACTAACTACACTTCAGTTAAGTCCAAGCGTTAATTTAAAATATGACTAGTATTAAAGGTCTAATAACATTTTGCATATGAATGATGTTATCTTCAAAGAGGAAACAGGGACTTAGTTTTACTTTTTTCCAAATTAAAATTATATTACCAAATATTTCAAAAGACATGCATCCTACATCTATATTTACAGATACAACCAAACGAACTGATTTTTGATTTTCTAGTGTAATTTGCAATCTTAAGATTTCCTGCTACAGCCTATTCAAATAATACCCCAGTTTTGAGTTCAGCCAATATTAGTTTCCCCTTCTGCTTAGGTGTATCATCTAATACTGTGATGGCGAACCTATGTCATGCCTGCCAGAGGGGGCACACAGAGTCCTCTCTGTGGGCATGTGAGCTGTTACCCAATTGAGCTCCACTGCATGTGCACCTACGCTTCCTGTCAGCCAGCTGATTTTTGGATCTCTGCCATGCATGCAGGAAGCATGCATGCATTAGCAGGGGGGGTTGTGCGTGCATGCATAGGGGCAGGGGGGAGCATGGGGGTTGCCGCACACCTCCCCGTGCCCCATTTTTGGGTGTTTTCAGGGAGGCCTGCTAGACCCAAAATGGGCCGTGGTGTGTGTGTGGGGGGTGCCACACACATGCAGCCCTTTTTTGGTTCCAGGAGAGTTCAGGGGGGGGTTTGCCAGGCCCAAAACGGGGCACTGGGGGTTGCATGCGCATGCACAGGGAAGCGTGGGGGGGTCATACATGGATGCGCAGGGGTGAGTGGGAGGTCGTATGCGCATTGCATTATGGGTGTGGGCATACTTTCAGCACGCAAAGAAAAAAAGATTAGCCATCACTGATCTAATATCTAGATTCCTTTAGGGATATTTACACAGATAAATTCTGGAGAAAGAGGGAGGGAGAGATTTTTGTGGGGGGGGGGTGTCCTTCAAGCACTCTGAGCTTGTTTTCTTGCAGATGTTTTATTATCAAATTAGGTAATCAGTGCTATAAGGGTATGGAATTTGCTCTTATTTTATATACTAGTGGTTTGCCTTATTAGTGTTGGTAGGACTGTTCTTGGTAATTCCTTGATTAGGCTGCTGTTTACTGTTAGTTTGTTTGGCAGAGTTGTTAGTTCCTTGATTAGGGTATTGTTTACCAAGTGATTATTGGTATAGAGCAGCGGTGTCAAGGCCCAGGGGCCTGCAGGGTTTCTTAGATCTGGTGCATGGGGCTGCCCTGGAAACAAGGAAGGCCTGGCCAACAGTGCTTCTGCTAGCGAAAACTGAGCTCAGGAGGGCTGTGTGCAGCCCTCTCAAGCTCCGTTGTTGTTGGCAGAGGGTTGCAGGAGGCCATCACAGCTGAAATGGAGCTCGTAGGTCCTGTTTTTGCTGGCAGAGTGCTTAGGCCTCCACAGGTGGCCCTGATACGAGTGACATAGAGCTGGCTACGCCCACCCTCGCCACGCCCACCCCAGCTCCCCTAAGTCAAACACAGCCCTGATGCGGCCCTCAATGAAGTGAAGTTTGACACCCCTGCTATAGAGTTAATTTTGGTGTTAATCTCTGCTCCTATGGTTTTTGATTGCTAGTGAGGTGCTGTTTTGGTCTTTTTGTTTCTTTTTTGGCTTTTTTGTCTGTTGAATAGAATAGGAATAGGAAGGAATAGAATAGAATAGAATAGAATAGAATTCTTTATTGGTCAACTGATTGGACACACAAGGAATTTGTCTTTGGTGCATTTGCTCTCAGTGTACTTAAAGAATAAGTACACTTATTCATCAAGAATAAAAAGATACAACACTTATTGATAGTCAAGGTTACTAATAAGTTATCAAATCATACTAGGAAACAATAAAAACAATATAAATTGAGAGATACAAGCAACATGGTTATAGTCAAAAGTGGGGAGAGAGAGATACTAGGAAGAAAGAGAAGAATAATAGTAATACATTCTTGGTAAATTGTTGACAGTGTTGTGGGAATTAGTTGTTAAACAGAGTGATGGCATTCAGTGAAAAAACTGTCCTTTGTCTAGTTGTTCTGGTGTGCAGTGGCCTATAGCGTTTTGAGGGTAGAAGTTGAAACAATTTATGTCCAGGATGTGAGGGGTCTGTAGATATTTTCACAGCCCTTTTTTTGACTCACGCAGTGTACTGGTCCTCAATGGAAGGCAGTAGCAATTGTTTTTTCTGCAATTCTAATTATCTGTTGAAGTCTATATTTGTCTTGTTTGGTTGCAAAGCCAAACCAGACAGTTATGGAGGTGCAGATGACAGTTATGGAGGTAGAGATGACTATTGTGGACTCAATAATTCCTCTGTAGAACTGAATCAGCAGCTCTTTGGGCAGTTTGAGCTTTCTGAGTTGGCGCAGAAAGAACATTCTTTGTTGTGCTTTTTTGATGATGTTTTTGATGTTAAGTGTCCATTTTAAGTCTTGAGATATGACAGAACCTAGAAACTTGAAGATCTCTACTGTTGATACTGTGTTGTGGTATCTTGAGTGATCTATACAGTAGATGTTGTTTATCTCTATGTGCCTGTTGATGACTGATTTGTCTGCCTGCTAGGCTTCTCTAGTATTTTTGGACTTGGCTTGGTCTAGAATGCTCAGTTTCTCAGTTGACTGAGAATTCCTGGAAGCCTGGTTTGATGTTACCTTGTGGGGTAATGAAATGTCTGCAAGAAAACATCCAAACTTAGGCTGCTCAAGGAGAGCACAAGGACCCCAAAGTCCTTGAATATTCTCTTCCATTGGGATATATATATGCATGTTTCTGCATACAGTACGCTGTTCTAACACATAGGATTTTAGACAAATATAATTAGAAATAAATTGAATTCATATTATAACTTATTTAATTTATAATTATCATTTTATTAGATAATACATTTTCTTACCATTACTTTCTATTGCGGCAATAAACCAGATTCAACATACTTTAAGAATTTTGTTATGTAGATGTGCCATGTATTATACATTCAGCCTAAATATTGGGGCCCATCCTAGTTTTATATGTTTTAATGTTATTTAAAACATCTCCTCCAGGCCATGTACTTTGTTTTGGAAAATAATTCAAGAGAAAAGTAAATATTGAAATTGTATTTGTGACAAGTGTTCCTTAACAATATATTTTACTGCTAGAAAAATTATTTACAAAGTTTGCTTGCAAGCCAGGAATAAAGCAACACATGCAGTTGCTTGAATCAGAGGGGAAGTTTATTCTGAGAGCATAATACATAAAAGTCAGTTGTCAAAGGTGGCCATGATTTGAATTTCTCTCAATATAATAATGTAATGCCTTTGTTTCATGAAAACACATCCTCTAGGAATTTTGAGAAAATTACTTAGGTGGTTTTCCAGGAAGTATTAATTTTACATTATGTACTCTATGAGCTATGGTTCCTGCTTGTTTATAGTTGTTGATTAGAAATGGTGATCTCTTCAAGTGAAAAACCTTTTTTGTTATTTGATCAAAGAGATCTCAAGATACAGTAGGTCTCAGGCAAGTAAGAATGTTCACCTGATTACATTTCAGCAGTTTCCTGTTGTACTTCGATCTTTGTCTAAGCCTATTCTAATTTGTGATTATCTTTTTATTTTGTTGGAAAAGATGTGTAGTGTTTTCCGCAGTAATCCTCATAGGAGTCTTAGTAGTCTTCCTATTCTTTCCCATAGGAAGAAACATACATATGAGAACTTTTTTCAACTGCGGGTACATTTATATTTATCTGAGATAAACATGGATTAATAATGGGAATGAGCAATTCAATGATCAGAATTTAGTTGTCAGAATTTAATATTTTTTATGCCAAATTTCAGCTTCTTCCTTTGAAAATGGAAAAAGGAAGACTGAGGCCCCATCTGTACGACTTCTTTGACATGTTCGCCTTCTACTCTACAGCTAGCAAGAAATCATGCCTCATTACACTTACATCTTTACACCTATTCCTAACAGGAACTTCTGACATACAGTTTTAGGGGGCAACATTATAAAGCTGTTACTGGTGGTGTCCGTGGCTGAAATTCTAGTATTATCCAGTACCAACAAATACATGAAAAGCCAGCTCCAACTGGTAAGCACAACATTGATTACAGGTAGTCCTTGACTTACAACTACAATTGAGCCCAAAATTTCTGTTCCTAAGCAAGGCAGTTATTGTGAGTTTTGCCCCATTTTATGACCTTTCTTGCCATAATTGATAAGTCACTGCAGATGTTAGATTAGTAACATGATTGTTAATCTGAATCTGGCTTCCCCATTGACTTTGCTTGTCAGACCATCAGAAAAGGTGATCACATAACCCCAGGACACTGCAACTGTCATAAATACATGGCATTTGCCAAGCATCCCTGGGAACTGTCTTTCCCCGCAGGCTGACCATCCTCTGAGCGCTTCCCTTTCATGCAGGACACGCGTGCTCACCACCTCCTGGGCACAAACCCAGGTGGCAGGGTGGTATCTCATTGGCCGCACAGGTCAGATCTAAGGCTGATCATGTGCCAGCCTTGATGGCCACTCTTCCTCCTCCTCACCAAGTTCTGACCTATGCGTGAGTGTACGTTTTTCATTCCCAGATCTTCGAATAGCTTGAGATTCACCAGTG